CCAGGAGAACCTGATTCCTCCACTCTAAGCTTAGCAGAGAAGTTGGCCTTGTTTAACAAATTGCCCCAGCCAGTCTCAAAAGCTATTTCTACCCGAAACAGAATAGACATGAGACAGAGAAGAATGAATGCTCGCTATCAGACTCAGCCAGTCACGCTCGGAGAGGTGGAGCAGGTGGGTACTTGGTCAGCTAATTCCAGTCCATGCGTCCGTTCTTAAACGACTGTGTCGTCAGGAAAGTCATGGTGCATTTTTGCATAGGAAAAAAGGCAGAAAAATACGGCATGACTCGTCCAACGACCCAGTATTAGCAGTGTAGCTTTACTGTTAGGTTACTCAGGTAATTAAGGTGACCTACCGCTAAACTCTGTTACCTGGGAGACGCTTGGTAATTACTTCAGTCCTGAGAAGACAGCATGCCAAGTAAGTTTCTTTCTTCTTGTTTTTGGGATTTGCTTGCTGAACTCATCTGGAGTGAGTCCATTTTGGAGAAAAAAAAAAAATAGCATGCAAAACCTGCTTTTCAACCAGAGGATTTTGTTAAATGAGATGTGTTATATAACCGTGTCCAGGAATGGTTGGTTTTCCACTAAGATTCCCAGTGGAACTGTGCCAGGGATTTCACTTCAAACCAGGATTTATCCAGACAGTGTTTTCAGTCAGCTTATGACTCGTTCGCTGTGTCCCTCCAGGTGCAAAGTGGGAAGCTCATTCCTTTCTCACCCACCGTCAGCACATCCCTGTCCACCATGGCCTCTACGGTCGCTCCGATGTACGCAGGGGATCTGCGCACAAAGCCAGCTCTCGATGACAGTACAAGTGCCACCGAGTATAAGTTTCCTTCTTCTGTAGAAAACTCCGACTCTCCGATGAGAAGTATTCTGAAGTCGCCAGCCTGGCAGCCTTTGGTGGAGGGCAGTGGAAGCCGAGGAAGCTTGAGAGAATTTGGAGAGACAGACAGTCAGAGAGGTGTGGTGAGCGGGGACAGTGGTGTGAAGAAGTACGGGTCCTTTGAGGAGGCAGACCCGCTGTACCCCGTCCTTAACAGAGTCAGGGAAGGAGACGGCCACAAGGAACCCAAATACGCAGCTCCAAGGAAAGGGAGCCTAGAGCTGGCTCAGACTCCGCTGGCCCATCTGGGTGATGAGCTGAAGGAATTTTCTCCTGCCAAGAGCACAGCACAAGCGAGCCCGGACTTGAAGGACAGGCAGCCCTTGGAGGAGCAGGTGGACATGGAGACCACCATGAAACGGAAGTTCTCACTGAGAGGTAAATTCCTACTGTGGGTGAGGTTTTAGAAACCAACCTGACTTTTAGTTCCTGCGTGGTTCAATGCATGTTTGTGATTGTTTTTAACTTAGTTATAAAGGCTGTTTACAACGAATATTGATGAAATGCCCAGAGCGAATCATACTCCCTCCCAGACTCCTCTTTCCTTTAAATCTGATATGTTCAGTGGATTAATCAATTTTCGACAGTGAAAATCCCTAAAGCCTTTCCACGTGACTTCAGAAGGGTTTCCGATGACTTTGGTCACAGTAACTCACAGAGGAGTCTTCCCAGCTGCTTGGCTCTGCCGGGTCGTGTGCTCAGCAGATGACCCAGAAATCCAGGGCTGGGTGAGGACAGGGATAAGGACAGAGCCCAGTCTCTGCGTTCCCAGATTCTTTCCACCCTCCTGCTTTGCAGAGGAGCACACTGTGCTGCGTGGACTTTCATCCTCTCCCTGTGTTTACATAAAATGATACTCTACAAGTTATAATAGGGACTTCGGTTTGGGAGTATAGCACTTTTGAAAGTTGAAGTAGTGTTTGGGAGAAGCAGAGACATTCCCTAGTGTGCAGTTCAAGCGGACTTCCTGTGTCTCACACAGGAAAGAGAGCGATTGTCATGAAGCATTTTGCTGCGTGGGGTAGACCCCTGGGAAGTGTTTTTCTTTTTTTCCTCATAGACATAGCGTGCTACAGATTTGCATAAATCCAAGTGGATTGGGTAACCCGCCCGTGCCCACGGGTTGGACTCAAGTGCTGCACTGTTGGGGGGTGGGAGCTGGAAGAATGTTTGCCTGGAGGAGGAAGTGCTGATGTCGCTCCTTTGCTTCCCAGCGGCAGAGTTCGGGGAGCCCACTTCTGAGCAGACGGGGACAGCTGCTGGGAAAACTGTTGCTCAAGCTGCAACCCCAGTGTCTTGGAAGCCACAAGATTCTTCAGAGCAAGGACAGGAGAAGCTCTGTAAGAATCCCTGCGCGATGTTTGCTGCTGGAGAGATCAAAACACCCCTGGGAGAGGGCATCCTCGATTCGCCCAGCAAAACCATGTCAATTAAAGAAAGGTAATGAGATTTAAGGACTAAAGTTACTCTTTCGGGGCAGGCCTTAGGACTTGCTTTTAGAAAAAGGTCTCCGTAATGGGCAGAGAGGTGATGTTCTGAATGCGGCTGTCTAAGGGGACGGGCTGTGACTGGAATAATTCTGGGAAGTCAAGATGTTTGAGAGGGAGCTGCGTCTGCCCCGGCTCCCAGGCTGGTGACGTTGAAAGGAGTCCAGCTCCCGTCTCAGCAAAGAAACAGAAGCAGACTCATTTGCTTCATTCATTTGCATTGGTGGCCCTCATTTTTGTTATATATATCAAATTCTTTGACTATCCAGTGATGGGAACTGAGAAAGTAGTTTTTTCTACTTAAGATATGCATGGTTTGAACTGAATGTACGAGCTGCTTGGGAGTGCTTGTGTAAAATATCTGGAGAAGAAATGGGAATACACTTTGGGCTCGCCCCCTAGCCTAGGGGGTAAGGGAGCTGGATCCCACTTGGCCAACCACAATTTGAATATTGGCTCCAGCAGATTGAAAACTACAGTGGGTGCATGTGTGTGCGCATCTGTGCATGTCTCAGATCCCCATGGGATGGAGAAATGGAGGACAGGTTCTTCTCTCTCTCTCTCTCTTGAGCTTTCTTGCCCTCTAACAACTAAAAAGAAAAAGAAAAGGAATTTATATATAGGACATATACCTCTGGGATTAGCATCTCACTTTTGTTTACAGGAAGTAATGGATGACTTTTCTGAATCATTTAAAATGTTCATATCAGGTCATAGCTATGAAAGATCGCATCTGAGTATTAAATAACCCCATACCCTCATCTCATTCCAAAGAATAACGCAGGATTGAGAGGATATGTTGAACAGGGACAGATGCAGGGAATAAGAACTACGTTGTTTTGGGGAGGTGTTTTCCTTGCTAAGTCTTAGGCATGGGAATAATGCAGCCAAATGGCGTAGTGATAGACGCATTGCTGGAGAAGGGCCACGTCATCGTCCCAGGGTCACCCACAGAGCTGTTTCCACGGTCAGCTCCCAGTCCTGCGGCCCTGGACCCTCCCCCAGTTTCTCACCGTGTGGGCAGATTCCGACTTGTCCGGCGAACGATCCTCTCTTCTTTCCCCAGATACGTGCGTTCGGAGCCCCTGAGACTACGTGTAAAAGCACAGTGAAAACCTTTCTGTCTGTTAAGCCAACTCTTTGAACAGTACCTATCAAATATTAAATAGATAGGGCCTTTTCTACTGACAAATTAACAAGACTGCTAAATCTTACATATCCTTGCCTTTACTCATTTAAACTTCCTAATGTATTAGCCCTCAGGGCTGAGGAGGCAGAGGGGAAGGGGTGAGTTAGGTAAACGAGAGTGATGTCTTCAGTCACGGAAGCGGTTTGGCCAACTTCGGGAAGTGCTCTTCCATAGAAGCTGGACTCAGAGGGACCAGCAGATGGCGTAATGGTTACATCACTGGACTCCCATGTAGTCAATCATGGTTCAAGACCTAGACTGGCTTAAAACTCACGCTGGGCACGTGTGCAGGCATGCCCAAAATTCCAAGAGGAGAACAGAGAAGGGGTTGCGGCCTAGCCATCCAGAGGGGTGATTTCTCTCTTTCCGTTTCTCTCTGGCTTTCCGGCAAGCACATGCACCCTACAGCAAAAATTTCTCTACCAAAAAAATAAAAAACAAGAGCTCAGAAAAAGTTGATCCTAAAGTCTCAAATAATAATATTTGGTTAGGTGAGGAGGGAAAGATCTAGTTTAAGAAAATTAGTGAACAGTAACACACACATTCTAATATTTTATACGGCAGAAAATATTCCTGGGGCAAATTCCAGCAGAAAATACTGAGTTGTCAGAAAAGTCATGATGTGCGACCAGCAGATGGTATAATGGTTTTGTTGCTGGACTCCCACAAAGTCAGCCATGGTTCAAGTCCCAGACTCAGCAGCTTAAAAGTCACACTGATGCATGTGCCTATGTGCCTAAAATCCCGAGAGGGGAATGGAGGAGAAGGGATTGCAGTGTGGCCATCCCCCCTGGGGGGGGGGTGATTTCTTGCCTTCTGTCTCTCTCTCTCTTGTCTCTCTGGTAAGAGCACACACCCTATAGCAAAAACCTCTCTCTAAAAAAAAATATTAAAAATGAAGTCATGGCATGTTTTTCAGTGCAAAAATGTGCTATGACTTTTCCCACAATCCAATACTAATGTATCCTTGTTTTTCGAAAACTTTTTTTTAACTTAAGGCATGTGCCCTCACTGGAGAGAGACAGGGAAAGTGAGAAATCACCGCTCAGGGCAGATGGTCACACTGCAATCCCTTTTCCTCCAATCTCCTTTTGGAATTTTGGGCATACATGCACATGCACTCAGCTTGCTTTTCAAGCCATTGGGTCCAGGACGGAACCGTGCAGTTGGCCATGTGGGATCCAGCCACCTTAACCTCCACATCACCCCCTGGCCCAGAAGTTAGGACTTTTTTAAAAGGTTGTATTTATTTTTATTCACAATAGAGAGCACATGTGGATGTGCACAGTGAGAGAGAACCTTGACCAGTTCTGGGCACCTTGTAGCCCCTCGCCCTAGCCCTCTGGCTCTTCGGGATCTTGGGCATGTACGCACACCTGGCGTGTTTCGAGCCGGAGGGATCTAAGCCTGTGAGGGGCCACCTGGCTTCCTGCCCTGTACTTCAGTATGCCCCCAATTCTGCCGCAGAGGCTGTGCCAGCCTGGAGCTTTGGATGGAGCCCTGTGTCTATCCACAGTGTGGTTATTCTTGATTTACCCATTTTTAGTACATTTTACTTGAACTGTATCTGTCTAAAGGCAATTTTTTTTAAAAGGTTTTTGCCATAGGGAGCTTGCCAGAGAGAGACAGTGAGAGAGAAGGTGAGAAATCACCCTCTCCCTCCCGGGGGAATGGCCGTGCCACTCCATTCTCCTCCTGGGATTTTGGGCACACACGCACATGTGCCCAGTGTGAGTTGCAAGCCGCCACGTCCAGTACACAGACCACGGTCATCCATGTGGGACTCCAGCCACCTGCTGGCCCCACTGCGTCACCTGCTGACCCCTCTAAAACCAATTTTAATCCTACCATAAATTCTGGTTTTTAAGACTGTGAGATACCATGAAAGGACAGCTGTATAACCCGGACTTTGAGAATGTCTGAGGAGTGCAAGGGTGACCGGAAGGTTCCTGTGAGCTGCTGGAAGTGTGTTCGAACTGAGGTCTGAGCACCTGCTGGCCAGAGCGGCCTTCGCTTAGCACACTCTCAGAGAGGTTCCTCGCTCCGATGTCCAGTCATGACAGTTTGGATACTTGTAAAACATTCAGCCTAATTGTTTAAATTTTAAGAAAGATGAGGGGTGTGGGCTGGCCCTGCAGTGCAGCGTTTAAATGCTATGCATATGGAGCCAGATCCCCCATGGCTGACCACAGTTCCAATCTCAGCCCTGGCAGCTTGAAGAGCACCCCAGGCTCATAAGTGTGTATGCCCAGAATCCCGATGGGATCGAGAAATGGAAGGGAGAAATCCGTGTGACTGTACCCTGTCAGGACGCTTCCTCTACCTCTCTCTCTTTCTCTGTCATTTAAAAACAAATGTAAAAAAAAAAAGAAGGAGCACTCAGGCACATCTCATTTCGAAGCTACGTTTGTGATAAATTAATACAAAACACATTGCCAGGGTCTTTCCCTCTGACCTCCACAGTATTTGTGTTAGTATCGGGTGGTCGGGAAAGTCACGACGCATTGTTGCGTAGAAAAATACGCACGATTTACCCAACCACCTGATATTTTGCTGAAAATAATGAAACTATCCACCGCGGTTGGCCGTGTGGGATCCGGCTTCCCACACAGCTCTGACCCACTGCACTACGGCCCAGCTCGCTTCACCTTTCCTTGGAACTGCCTCCCTGACCCTGGTAGGAAGCGTCCGTCTCTCTCCTGCTGGGACGTGACTATGCCGAGTTCACCCCGAGTGCTCAGTGCATGTGCTTCCTTCAGCACTGCACGTGTGCTATTTCGTTCAGTGTTGAAGCCAGCCTTAGGAGGGAGGCAGGCGGTCTCCCCTGCCCTCGTGTACATGGGAAACGTAGAAACCAAGAAGTTCCAGGAGGTCCCCGTCGTCCCCTTTCTCAGAATGTGTTTGATATTTAAGAAAACGTATCTAAAAGTTCCTTTTTTTTTTTTTTCCATCTTTTCTGATGCCTAGAATGTTACTTTTGAACGAGGAACACCGTAAAAATTACCATGCAATTTATTTTTCTACTGGTTAATACAGCTACAGTTTTATAACTGTTTAAATGATTCATGGTTAAGTTGTTATTTGGAAGGAATGCTTTTGAAAATCAGCAGTGCTTCGAATCATTCTCACATTATTTAGGGAGAAAACCTTTGATGCCTCTTTAAAGTACGTTAGGCCTTTAGAAACCTTCCTTCCACCCTTGCTGAAACAACTATATGTTGTCTTTAGTATCTGGGGGAGAATGCCACTGAGAAAAGCAAAGGGAGGCAGCGCTCTGCTGTGAGCAATTGGTGGGGCGCGTGTGCGCACTTGGTGGGCGCACTGAGGTGTGGAGGCACCTGCCCCATGCCTCTGCAGGGTTGCACCCAGGGGCCCACGGGGCTCCGCCCCCACCCCCACTCACCCTCCCCTCCCCTGCATGTCCCTCCCTCCACCCAGCCACAGGCTGTACCTTTCTTTCCCCACAGAGGTCCCTCCTTGTAGCTGGGAGATTTCTGCCACTCGAGGCCCTCCAGGCTTATGTAAAAACTGGGATGGAGGCGTAATCCCATGTTGGCCCTCTTTTTCTGATTTTTTACTTTTGTTCCCCATCTAAAAGACATATTAGGGGACCAGCAGACAGCATAATGGTTACATCACTGGACTCCTACATAGTTGACCATGGTTCAAGTCCCGGACCTGGTGGCTTAAACCTCACACCAGGCATGTGTGTGTGTACATGCACAAAATCCCAAGAGGAGAATGGAGGAGGGATGGTGCTGGCCGTCCCCCACAGAGGATGATTTCTCACTTTCTGTCTCTCTGGCAAGTGCACTTGGCCTATAGCAAATAAAAAAAAAAGTTTTGTGAGTCTTCCAACCTGCAGACTAGCCAAGACCAAGCTCGGGTACAGGTCCTAATCAGTGTCCTCAGCCCTATTGGAAATCTGTGGGGTGCCTCTGAAACGAGGGGACATTTCCAAAGAGGAATTAAGCCCACCTTATGTAATTTGAGGGGCACGTGGTTAGTCTGTCCTGTGTCTGACCCTGCCCCGGCTGGTATGAGCCTGCAGAACTCGTTCTCCTCACGCAGGGCTGTCAGGCCAGAACTCCCTGCTGAAAACATGTGGGCTGTGTCCGGAGGGGCAGACGTTTCCCCCGGCGGCCTGGCAAGCCCAGGTCACGTTGGCACTGGGCCAGCCCGGGGTTAGCAGGTTATGAGGGGCTTGCCACTCACTGGGTTCACAGCCCCAGACTCGGCAGGTGCCCGCGCTGCCCACATCACAGTCCTGCGGACAGCGCCTGGCCTTGGCAGAGGCAGATGCGTTGACAGTTGTTGGAGCTGCCCAGGCCGGAATTTATGTCATGAGTGGGACCTGGCGCTCCGCTGCCTGCCCCCTCCGGCTCGGGAGGGTCTGTGGTGAGTCCGAGGACCATGAGATCTCAAAGGGACACATTGGGAGAGACCCCTGCCCTCCTCAGCCTGTTGAACACCAAGGAGGAAATCTAAAGGGACAGGAATAATACATGTGAGCTTTAGGACATGTTATTTTAAAGTCACTCGCCATTCGAACTTGGTAGACAAGGCCCGGGGCCAAGGACCGGTGGGCTCCGTGCAGCACAGCCTCTTCCGCACTGTTTTGGTTGCTCTGTATTCTTTGGAAGTCCCTGACGGTGACCCTGCCAGTACATCGCAAAGCAAACTTTCAGACTTTCAGAATGGAGGAATTTTATGAAGGCTATCCCAGAGCAGAAAAAAAGAAAGGCATTATTTGAAAAAGAAAAAATTCTCTGCTATTCCTGAAGGAGTAGAGCAAGTGTGTCTGGTCAGCAGTGGACTGAGTAGTGAAATGAGAGGAGGAAGGACCAGCAGGTGGTGTAATGGTTATGACGCTGGACTCCCATGTCGTTGACTGCAGTTCGAGTTCCGGACCCAGCAGCCTAAAACTGATGCCAGGCACATGTGCATGTGTGCCCAAGGTCCCAAGAGGAGACTGGAAGTGAAGGGATTGTGGCGTGGTTATTCCCCCGAAGGGTGATTTCTCACTTTCTGTCTCTATCTCTCTCTGTCTCTCTGAAGAACACATGTACCCTATAGCAAAAATCTCTCCTTAAAAAAAAAAAAAAAGAGAGAGAGAGAGGCGGGAATCTCACTCCTGGCTCCCTAGCACCCAGCGTGACCTCGGTCACTGAAATCCCCAGCCTGGGTGTGCTCACATCGCTGTCTGTCTGAACGAGAATAACAATACCCAGACTCTTAGAGGCTGCTGTGCAGATCAGCAGAGTCTAAGAACTACAAAGTGACTCCCAATTCTCCAGTTTGTTTTTGTCTACATCCATTTTGGGTTCCTCAAAACAGCCACCAGGGAAACCATGCGACTCTGCAGGTCATACGATCACTCCGAACACAGGGGAGCTTCTTCTTGAGAGGGGCCTTGAAGTTGGTAGCTCATTCTTTTTCATAAACGTAGCTTTTTACGAAGCCCCACTCGTGAGGATGAATCTGATTTTTTAAAATTCTCTTAAAACATGGAATCCAGAATGTTTAACAAGGCGGAGGGTCTGGATGAGTACCTGCTGCTCTAGGTCAGAGCTGAGAGACAGAAGCCGGTGCGAGGCCAGTTTCTAAGGGGGATACCAGTGAGGCAGGTGTCTCTTCACAAGGTGACGAGTGGGAAATATTTCTTCATTTGGGTCTTAAAGTACTGACGTGCTTTTTGAAAGTCATTTATTGATGCTTTGAAACGTTCAAAAGTTCTACTACAGCTTGCAGGTGTTTCTTTCTGTGGTTTGATTTTGTAAGGTTCTTTTTTCTTACTAGAATACAACTGACTCGTTCAAAATACGGGGCTGTTGGAACAGTCACGATGTATTTTTTCTGTGCAAGAATGCATCATGCCTCTTCCGACAACCCTGTCAATAATTAGAGAAAAGATACATCTTGGTCACTATAGGATACGAAATGCAGGTTAAAACACAGGAATTTAGATTTGGGCTCCAAGTACACAAACTAGCCCTGGGAGTGCGCAATGTCATTAAGCATACCCCATTACAGAATTTAGAACCAAATGGGGCCTTAAGCCAGAGAGCATCTGCCTGAGCCAGAGAAGGCAGCATTCCACCTGTTTCACAGAATATCTTATCTGCTGCTATCTAGCCAGAAGAAAGAGACCAGGCAGGAAAAAGAGAAGGGAAGGAATAAGAGGAGGGAAGGGGCCTGGTCCAGAGTTCAAGCTCCTGCCTCCTTTGGGCAATTCTTTTTTTCACAACTCACTTTTCGTTATTTGACTGAATGAACAGATATAATTGTGTACAGATCTGTAGATGTAAATGGACTCTTGCTTAAGTATTTCCAAATTTGTTTTCTTATTGGCTTAACAAAACTTTCATTGTAGAGTATAGTTCATCCCAGGACCAGCAGTTGGCATAATGGCTATGTCGCTGGACCCCCATGTAGTCAACTCAGTTCGAGTCCCAGACCTGGTGGCTTAAACTCACGCCAGGCATGTGTGTGTGCGTGCCCAAGATCTTGAGAGGAGAATGGAAGAGAAGGGATTGCAGCATGGCCATCCCCCCGGGGGGTGATTTCTTGCTTTCTGTCTCTCTGTCTCTGTCTTTCTGGCGAGCACACACGCCCTATAGCAAAAACCTCTCAAAAAAAAATATATATATATATATATAGTTCATCCCACCTCCGATTTATTTATTTATTAAGGTTTTGTCATAGAGTGTGTGTATTTGCTGGAGAGAGACAGTGAAAGGGAAAGTGAGAAATCTTCCCCTAAGGGGGGGGTGGCTGCACTGCGGTCCCCTCTCCTCTCTTCTCCTGAGATTTGGGGCACCCAAACACTCCCAGTGTGATTTTTCAAGCTGCTGAGTCCAGGACCCGAACCGCAGTCAGCCATGTGGGAATCCAGTGCCATAACCACCATGCCACCTGTTGGCCCTCACCCATCTCCAATTTAAATGCAGGTGGCCCCTGACTCAATGATGGCGCTACTGAAGAGTTTTTGACTTCATGAGGTGGAAGAGTGATACATATTCAGTAGAAACTGTACTTCAGGTGCCCATACAACCATTCTATTTTCGTTTTCAGTTCAATCAATTATATGAGGTATTCAAAACTGTACTGTAAAGCCCCTGTGAGTGAGATGATTTTGCCCAGTCGTACGCTGGTGTAAGTGTTCTGGGCGTGTTATGGTGAGCTATCTAAGCTATGATGCCTAGTAGGTTAGGTATATTAAATGCATTTCAACTTAGAATATTTTCAACTTGCAGTGGGTTTGTCAGGTTGTAACCTCATCCTAAGTTGAGGAGCATCTATATTTAATGGAATCCAGAGACTTAGCAGAAGGGCCTTTAGAGAGCAAATGGTCTAGTTTCTGATACGACAGATAAGAAAGGGAGAACCAAGGTACTCGAATGGAGTTAATGGCCACCGTGGGACTAGAGTTGATGTGCTGCTTAAAAATATGCTGTGTGTGGCTTAGGTGCTAATGATATTGAAGAGACCTGGCCCAGCAGGCTTGGTGCGCTGGGGAAGGAGCCTGTCTCTTATTTTTTCCTAATTGTTTGAACATCACCTCAAGTGTTTAATGATCCCCATTCTTTTGCCTTTTGTCTCCCATGCTTGTCCAACTTGAATGCCTAAGACTTCTTCATCTGTTATAACACAGAGAGCTGAAACAGCTTCGAGTTCCTGAAAATAGCCTTCCATAGGTTAAAATACCCAAGTAGCTTTATCATAGCGTCATTGAACTAAAGTAGGTTAGGTAACCACCTCAGTTAATTGGATTCTTTTTTTGTATATATCTTTCCCTTGAGGAAAGCTGAAGTAATAATTTTTTAAAATGAGTTCGTAGAAAATAGTTTCTGTATGGAGAGGGTGAATCCGAAAGACCAAATTCAACTGGAACAAAAATACAGGGCTTAAAATACAGGAAGAGAAAAAGTCATGAACATCATACTTTAAGTGAAAGGCATGATAGTAAGAGACTCTCAGTATTTCATGGCTTTATGTTTTTAAACCCATTTCTGGCATATTTCCTGCAAATAATTGCTACACAGCTGTAGTCTGTTATTTCATCAAGTGACCAGAAGGAGTCGCTAGAGGACATACTTCTCTGGGGACAGCTACTTTATCTCTTGTTCACAGCAAGGTCGAGGAAAAAATAGAGAAGATACTCTTTTGCTGGAGTATCTGTCAAGTCAGATTTCAGCTTTGAACTCCAATTAATGTAAAGTCTTTGGGACCATCTTAGAAAGGAACTCTGCTGTTTTTCCAGACATACTGGGTTGTTCCAAGTTATCGAGTATTTTCTCTATACTTTTCTATGTCAAAATGCATCATGACTTTTCTGACAATCGAGTTTTTTCTCCAGCATAAATGACATTCAGAAAGTCTGACATTAGGTAGCTGTGGTTACTTACTGACCAAAGACTTCTAACTTACCTACATGATAGACCTGTTACAAGTTAAGACTTTGGTGCTGAACGCTTTCTGGTTGGCACGTTTTCCCCTTAGACTGGCTCTGCTGAAGAAGAGTGGTGAAGAAGACTGGAAAAACAGACTTAACCGGAAGCAGGAGTATGGCAAAGCGTCTACCACCAGCAGCCTGCAGATCCAAGAAGTGGAACAGTCACTCAAGAAGAAGGTAACTCGTCTATGGTGGAGAAAAGCATTCTCATTAACACTACGCTTGGAAGTGCATCAGTAGACATGCATGTGGCACTGAACTAACTCCTGCTCGATGAAGCACTCATGCTTTCTTGCCCTTCGGGTACACACTTAGGTGTGTCATGTAGCAGCGAACGTTGATCCCAAGGTCGAGTCTTGAGATGTTCCCAGAACTGGGAATACACAGTTCACACGATGCCACAGCAAGCAAGTGCCTACGTTTAAAGTGTGTTCTTTTATTGATTTGCTTAGTTTAAAGCTTAGACGGGGGCCAGCAGGTGGCATAGTGGTTAAGGTGCTGGGACTTCCACATGGCCCACTGCAGTTCAAGTCCCAGACCTGATGGCTTGAAAATCACACCAGGTATGTGTACGTGCGTGCCCAAAATCCTGACAGGAGAATGGAGAAGAAGAGATTGTAGCGGAGCCACTTCTCCTGGGGGGTGATTTCTCATTTTCCCTTGCTCTGTCTCTCTCCAGTGAGTGTGCATGCTCTGTGGCAAAAAACCTTCAAAACCAAACAAAACAAAATGAAAAGGCTTGAATGAAGTCTTATTTGAGAATATTAGTAAAGCTCTATAATGAAAAACCTTTCCTCCCAATGGCTTTTGTTACGTGTAAAATATGGACTCAAATTTCCTGTGTCGAGATTTAAAACCTTAGTATAAAAAGGAGTTTGTAATTCATAACTCTAAGCATGTTTCACAATCCATGTTATTGAAAGTTATCGAGGAGGTATGTAGGTTACAAACTTCAATGCAAGTGAGTAGTACATGGTGATGAGTACTGGCAGGCATTCCATATGCAAAAGCATCGATGCGTTTTTAAATTATGCATGTAACAATGGCTAGCTTTTGACTAGTTGGTGCACACTTCCACAACTGAGGGTGACTTACATCCTGGCTGGCCCTACAACTGCAAATGCACTTGCTGGCTGGAGACCTAACGACACACCTGTGACTCACTTGTGAAATGCCCACTGATCGATAGCCGGGATTAAGTCGTCACATAGAAAAAAGAGAAATGCTTCCAACTAGGTGACCAGTGGACCCCTTCTAGTTCGAACAGAAGTCCAGCATCTGTGGAAGAGGAGAATTCTGAATGTGACCATATATATTATATAAAGGAGCCAGCAAGTGATGTGGTGGTTGAGATGTTGGACTCCCACATGCTGACCGCGGTTCAAGTCCTGGATCTTTAAAATCATGCTGTGTGTGTGTGTGTGTGCGTGTGTGCGTGCATGTGTGTGTGTGCGTGCGTGTGCCCAAAACCCCATGAGGAAAATGGAGGAGAAGGGGTTGCAGCATGCACCGCTGGGGGGGTGATTTCTCACTTTCTTTCTCACTGTCTCTCTCTGGCAAGCACACGCATCCTATGGCAAAAACCTAAAAATGAAAGAAGGAAAGAAGAAAAGGAAGGAAGAAAGTTACATAACAATGAGATGCACACATACAGCCGTGATTCAGGAGCTCTGACCTGTTTCGTATGAGACTCTTCACAGGTTATGTTGGAGTGACAGTTTGAAATCTCTTTTATGAGACGTACATGACTGTTAAAGATAATAACGAGCATTTCATTCTCAGCCATCTATATAAAGTTCTTAAATATAATTGGATATGGAAATTTAGATTTCAAGAACGGGATTCTGAAGTGAAAGGAAACTGAGTCCCGCAAATATTTTATTCCCATAGCCCAGAAACTTTATTTAAAAGAATCTTGAAATCTTTGCTTCAAAAATCACTTTAACAACATACCTCATTTGCAAACCAATGACATTCAGAAAGTCTGACATTAGGTAGCTGTGGTTACTTACTGACCAAAGACTTCTAACTTACCTACATGATAGACCTGTTACAAGTTAAGACTTTGGTGCTGAACGCTTTCTGGTTGGCACGTTTTCCCCTTAGACTGGCTCTGCTGAAGAAGAGTGGTGAAGAAGACTGGAAAAACAGACTTAACCGGAAGCAGGAGTATGGCAAAGCGTCTACCACCAGCAGCCTGCAGATCCAAGAAGTGGAACAGTCACTCAAGAAGAAGGTAACTCGTCTATGGTGGAGAAAAGCATTCTCATTAACACTACGCTTGGAAGTGCATCAGTAGACATGCATGTGGCACTGAACTAACTCCTGCTCGATGAAGCACTCATGCTTTCTTGCCCTTCGGGTACACACTTAGGTGTGTCATGTAGCAGCGAACGTTGATCCCAAGGTCGAGTCTTGAGATGTTCCCAGAACTGGGAATACACAGTTCACACGATGCCACAGCAAGCAAGTGCCTACGTTTAAAGTGTGTTCTTTTATTGATTTGCTTAGTTTAAAGCTTAGACGGGGGCCAGCAGGTGGCATAGTGGTTAAGGTGCTGGGACTTCCACATGGCCCACTGCAGTTCAAGTCCCAGACCTGATGGCTTGAAAATCACACCAGGTATGTGTACGTGCGTGCCCAAAATCCTGACAGGAGAATGGAGAAGAAGAGATTGTAGCGGAGCCACTTCTCCTGGGGGGTGATTTCTCATTTTCCCTTGCTCTGTCTCTCTCCAGTGAGTGTGCATGCTCTGTGGCAAAAAACCTTCAAAACCAAACAAAACAAAATGAAAAGGCTTGAATGAAGTCTTATTTGAGAATATTAGTAAAGCTCTATAATGAAAAACCTTTCCTCCCAATGGCTTTTGTTACGTGTAAAATATGGACTCAAATTTCCTGTGTCGAGATTTAAAACCTTAGTATAAAAAGGAGTTTGTAATTCATAACTCTAAGCATGTTTCACAATCCATGTTATTGAAAGTTATCGAGGAGGTATGTAGGTTACAAACTTCAATGCAAGTGAGTAGTACATGGTGATGAGTACTGGCAGGCATTCCATATGCAAAAGCATCGATGCGTTTTTAAATTATGCATGTAACAATGGCTAGCTTTTGACTAGTTGGTGCACACTTCCACAACTGAGGGTGACTTACATCCTGGCTGGCCCTACAACTGCAAATGCACTTGCTGGCTGGAGACCTAACGACACACCTGTGACTCACTTGTGAAATGCCCACTGATCGATAGCCGGGATTAAGTCGTCACATAGAAAAAAGAGAAATGCTTCCAACTAGGTGACCAGTGGACCCCTTCTAGTTCGAACAGAAGTCCAGCATCTGTGGAAGAGGAGAATTCTGAATGTGACCATATATATTATATAAAGGAGCCAGCAAGTGATGTGGTGGTTGAGATGTTGGACTCCCACATGCTGACCGCGGTTCAAGTCCTGGATCTTTAAAATCATGCTGTGTGTGTGTGTGTGTGCGTGTGTGCGTGCATGTGTGTGTGTGCGTGCGTGTGCCCAAAACCCCATGAGGAAAATGGAGGAGAAGGGGTTGCAGCATGCACCGCTGGGGGGGTGATTTCTCACTTTCTTTCTCACTGTCTCTCTCTGGCAAGCACACGCATCCTATGGCAAAAACCTAAAAATGAAAGAAGGAAAGAAGAAAAGGAAGGAAGAAAGTTACATAACAATGAGATGCACACATACAGCCGTGATTCAGGAGCTCTGACCTGTTTCGTATGAGACTCTTCACAGGTTATGTTGGAGTGACAGTTTGAAATCTCTTTTATGAGACGTACATGACTGTTAAAGATAATAACGAGCATTTCATTCTCAGCCATCTATATAAAGTTCTTAAATATAATTGGATATGGAAATTTAGATTTCAAGAACGGGATTCTGAAGTGAAAGGAAACTGAGTCCCGCAAATATTTTATTCCCATAGCCCAGAAACTTTATTTAAAAGAATCTTGAAATCTTTGCTTCAAAAATCACTTTAACAACATACCTCATTTGCAAACCTGTCAACTACTAGGTCATGCACCAAGCTACGCCAGGCACCTTGTTGGTCATGTTGGAAGATGCAGAGAATCCCCAGCCCTCAGGAGCCGAAGTCCCATGTAGCCAGGTGAAGATTAAAATGAAGCTAAAAAGCACAAAGCAAGATAGATTTCCCATGAAGTGTGGAAGGAGGGCTTTACCCACTCAGAAGAGTGAGGGGTCACTTTGCTAATGAAACCAGAAGCCTTTGAGTGGAGGATGGGGTCAGAACGGCCTGACCCCATGGCTATAGTTTTCAAAAGGCAAAACATGCCAGGTTACTTCTGGTGCCCTTGGAATAGAAACCCAGCGACCCAAAGCCCCAGGTCTCTAAGTGCAATTTGGACTCGAGTGTGAAATGCTGTCTCTGGGCTCCCAGACGCTGTTGATTGTGCAGTGATAGCGAACTCACTGTTTCTGCGCCTCCTCGGTGGCCTAGTTCCCTGTGGCCTCAGACAGTAAGCTCTTTGAAGTTAAAATAAGCCCGTCTATTTTAGCCCGCCTAGCCGACATCCGGAGAATCGCTAGTCCTGTTGAGGGCGAGGGTTGCAGATGGCTTCTGACAGCCCCTGCATCCATGCCTTCCAAGGACTGGCTATTGCAGTCTTCCTGCACTGTGCTCAGAGTTAGGGGCAAGGCACCTTAAAACTCATCTGCTAAGGCCGTCCCCAAACAGCCCCGAAGCACGCTTGACAAATCGCCCTGCTGCTGTCTCGCAGAAGGAAAGACAGTCATGCCAGAGGTGCCTGTGGATGGGGCTAGCTGCGGGGGTAGAGCTGTACTCCTGCTGAGAGCGGCGTAGGAGGGACGTGCTGGAACCCTCCCTCTACCACCCGGGGTGCAGAGGAGCTGGTTTATGGTCACCACTCAGCACCGTTTCTGGAGTCACCGAACAGCACATACTCACGGTTTACCAAACACTCAGCGTGCCGTCTGTGGGCCCGTGAGTTGCAGCCTGGAAATAGAAAAGAGGCAGAAAACACGGGACTCTGAAGCCACTTCCATTGCTCCTGGAAAACCCCACGCAGCGAGGAAGTCAGTGCTGCACAATAAAGCTGTGATGTGTGCCGCGGGAGTCATTTTTCAGTTTTCGAGGATACGCACATTGAAAAGTATAAAAGGGATGCCTTGAA